TTTTCTGCAATGCCGCACTTAAATGCCGAGAGCATCAGATGCAAATCAAGATAATCAATTAGTTGAGTACTTACGTGAAAACCCAATGAGTAGTGAGTACTACAGATTAACTGTCAGTTCTAACTTAACCTTTTAGAATTAAGCCATGTTCAAGCTATGGATAAATATAAAAATTTGACATTTTTATGCCTTGACATTTTCCGATTTTTTTGCAACCAAGTGTACCTAATATAACTGAGTATGAAACATGCACTATAATTCACAGGAGAATTCTTCAGTGTAATTTTTTCTTTAATATACGATTGGTTTGCTAGATGCTAAAAATTCAAAGAGGGCATAGCATTAAAATTTTCTTATATTTTATGAACTATAGTTATTTCAGTGTACAAAATTTAAGTACATTGTTTTGAAGGAAACTTTTCTAGTCCACGACATTAATTCGTATTATTTGAATGACATTTTAGAAACTTCAGCTTCAAGACATTTGACAACGACAAAATTTTGGATTTGTCAAAGTGTCTTAGTTTTCAACGGTCGGAACTGTACTTACTCGTATTCGAAGTATACTAGATCATAGTGATCATCTGATAAACGGAAACTACGTAACTTTATTGTTTTATTTTGTGGTATTTAGGCTTATTATTGTGCTTATGATTGCAAATTTTAAATAAAATTATAAACAATATATTGACTAGTTTTACATTTAATAAACGTAAAACTTTTCAAATCTTTTATTAGGTTTTGAAAATTTTTGGGCAAATGTGTCGAAATCTGTTAGCCTCGTTTCGGCTTGGCGGATAACGAATGGAGCGGAAGCCTTCATGAGAAATGGAGGTGTTAGGAGTTATGAGCTTCATCTCTGTGCCGCCTCAGTCGGATATTGCCGTTCATTTGTCTTTTAGGGGGTGGTGGTGTCGTGTCATGCAATATCGGTGTCGTCTCGCCAGCTGATTGTGGCGAGACTCAAATCCAAAACTAGGCCTATTTGTCATCGTACCAGGAGATGGCGTTCTTATCTCATGTTAGCCATCAACTTGAAGTATACAGAGGGGACGTTCAAGCAAGCCATGCCGGTATCCGTTTGGTTATTGCAGCCGTTTCGCCTTATCAACGCTTCCAAAATTACTCTTTATGTGCTAAATACTGTGCTTCGCCATTTTAAAATTAGAAGCGGTTGTTTAACCGAGAAAAGTTATGATACTTTTTATATTATCTCTCGCTGAGTAAACCTATTACACTTAAATTTTAAAACAGTCACATTTTCTCGCTCTTATCGCCGCTATTATATCTGGAAATGCGTTGCAAACACTCCTGCATCTCTTCTGCTGCGAAAACTGATGACACGGAAGTTTCTTATCGCTAAATAAATTAAAATTGTCTTCTTTTTCGCTAGATATAATAAGGTCCACTAGCCAAAGATTTGGTTAATTTGAACACAATTGTTTTTGATTGTGTCTCAAAATGTGCAAATTTAGTTGTTATTCGATTTAATTGTTTACAAATAGCGTGAATTTGCGTTGGTAGAATATTAAGTTTCTTGGAAATTTCACACCTACAAGGGAAAATTGTACTATGCAAGCAGGTCAGGTACGGTCGACATAATTGCGCAATTTGGATAATGCAAGCAAGCAAAGAATATTGTAGACACTCACATTCCGGCAATGAAAAAATTTAAAACTGGTCGTATAAAATACGGTCTAATAATAAAGAAAATTAATTAACAAATAAAGTGATTTTATGGTTTATAGACCTATAACATAGCGTGTTTAGTCGTCAGGTAAAGCGCTAATACATGTCACCGAACGACTATAAAACTAGTAGTATATTCTCTCGGTTCTTCTTTACTCTCTTAACTGGCTCGTATTTTAGTATGTTGTCCCATTCTCGTGTACTTAATGTGTTGGGAGTCGAGGGGAGCTGTTTTGCGAACCCATTAATTTAATTCATTATCCTTTGGTCTTGGAGATGGTGCCGAGTTGTTGAAAATAGATGCGCCACTTCACACAAATGCACCAATCAAAATACAATTTAAATGCAAGCACAAAATTGCCATAACAATACAATATTTTTAAAACTACATACTTAACCGTGTTTGAGAAAATAGAAAATAACTGAATTTTTGTTAGTAGCCAGTATATTTAATAATCATATTTCTTGAATAGAAATTGATTGAAAAACATTCAAAAAAAATTTATGCATAATAAAGAAAGACTGACAGGTAATCCCTGTTTTATTAAAAGCTCAAACGAAACCTTAATTGAAACGCGCATTAAAATTATTTTCCCATAAGCAAAATCGAATTTAGTTCTCCACGAGGGAAACGACAAAGCTCGCCGCTTCCTCTGTTATAGTCCTGTCGATGACGCCATAAGGATTGCCACCCCTGCAAAAAGTCTCGCAATACCCAACTTTGATGTTACACAAATTGCTCAGACGATAAAAGAATTTTTGATGAAAACTCCGCAAAAAATCGTTTTGAGCTGGCTGTAAGGATAATTATTCGGGCGGGATTAAATTACCTGACACGTGTTAAAACATACACAACGTTAAATGCATGACAACCGGAAAATATGTAGTCAAAGTGAAATACACTGAATAAAAAGTTCAAAGCATCCATGTCTATGCCACATGCAGACGTAAATCCAGTCAGCTTGTCGAAAACTTGCTTATTTACTGCCTTTCAAGCTTTACGTCGTTCCAAGCTTTGCATGTGATGTAAAAATGAACCAATCAACGCCCTCTTTTTATCAAGCTTTGAGGTAATATGAAAATCACGTCTACTCTCAAACGCTTTGTGTGTTTACAGTTTTCCTTTTTCGCTGTGTGCTTATGACACATTTGATTTAATGCAAAACCATGAAATAACAAAACGTAGTAATGCTCCGGAAAATTTCATCACGGATTTGGTGCGCCACCAAACACACCGCAATTGCTTTCCCTGGCGAGAAACAAGAACTGAAAAAATGATATTACGAAAACAGGATCAAAAAGAAACGAAGTTTATTTATTCCTTCTAAAAGCGAAGCAAATAACTTACGCCCTTGGTGCCTCAAAATTATCACAAATAAAGCTTTTAAGCAAATATTTTCAAATAAAAGTATTCATAGAGCTTAGCGACTTTCTTCAAATTTTCACACTACTAATTTAAAGATTTACTTGATAAACAAATAAACAAAATACCTTCAAACGACTCCTTTTCGGTAGAAAGTTAAAAACAAATTTCGAAAGAAAGTTTTTTTTTAATTTTCCGTAGGACATACTTTGTAAGAAAAACACGTTTAGGTTGTCAAATAACTTTTGAATTTTTTAAAGCAACTATATCAGGAATTATCTGTATTAGGTATTCTGGCTTAAATAAGACCGATTTTTTTTTAGTTAACTATGATTTTTATTTTTTCTGGATGCAAACACCGGCAAATCCTCGATCACATCAGAATGTGTTAACCAATAAATCTTTATTAGAAACCAACAACTAACCGCAAAATTAGTCATCGGATCGTAATTTCACCCCTGATTTGCAAGACAAAAAAATCTTTTCTCCAATTATTTTGTAATGTTTGAGTTCTGTTAAATTGTGAGAGATATATTGCCATAGCGTCGGGTGTAAGCAGACTCGTGGCCTTGCAAGCAATGTAATCTGAACTTGCGAAAGGAACGTCGTTTGCGGTGATAAATCAGGTCCGGTGRGGTATTATCAGTGGCGAGCTTGGGATGCTTACATGATAAACTCCACCAAACAAATTCCACATTGTCCGGCAGCTAGTTGCTAGATCGTTTATCAGGGTGGAGAACAGCGCCACGGGCCGGCGCGATAAAGAGACCATGAATGAGGAAGCGACCGCTTAAAGTTGCACCGGGGGCCCCGGGAGCTCTCGATGTCTCTCTCGCGAAGATAAATAACCCCTCAGTAATTGCGTGCGGAGCGATACCATATTTCATACACGCCATGAGCCATAACTTAGGAGGCAATTACTATGAGTACGTCGTTTATCATCCGACTCCTCGAGACAAGGGCGGCGGGACTTGATAATCGAGATTAAATTGATAAAGAATCTATCCCTGCCAAAATCAAACAGTTTCGATATTAACTTTGATAGCGAAGAAAAACGACAGACGACTTGAAAAATGATCCTAGTACCAATTCAGATAATTAATTTGTTCGGCGGCGTTCTCCGATAATGGTAATGCCCTAGTCGGGATGTACCATTAACATGCTTTATGTCACCGGAGGGATTCTCCTTATATAGGTGTTGACGACCGCAACGCCGGCGTAATTCCTTCCTAGTTTATATCTGGCTCTATTGTCGCGGCCGTCCTAAATGGTCCCTCTGGTCCGCAATTAATCCACTCACAATCCCAGGGCGGTTAGTGGTAAAGCAGGGACGGTTAGCGGTCAGCTTGGCCTTGCTCCCGGATTCCGCAAGATTGCGCCATCCCCAAGACACAAATAATTTACGAGGACAGACGGGAGAACCACTTATTGCCTTCGGCTAATCTCACTCAAATCAATTTTTAATAATCTAATAATCACTTTCAAAACTTGTATACAAATTACAAATAGATACATATTATTTTTCAGTTAAACGAATCGTTTTTTTTATAATACCTATCCTCTAAACAAAAATCCTTTAAACTGTTAGTTTTCTTGCAATTAAACAGAAGTACATAAACTGTCAACTTTTCCACCATTACAAGTATTGAGATAATCAAAAAATGTCAATCCCAAACGCCGCAGAAATATTTCAATGGAATAATTTATCAACAAAACATTCCATTAAAAATTGCTTTTCCTTTACTGGGTGCCACATAATTTTTTTTCACATTTAAAGGAAATTTCTTTTTAATTAATGTTAGGACCGATTTTAATAAATTAGAGTGAGAGAAAATTAAAATAAGAATTATTTTATTGAGACATCATATTTGCGTAAACGTGAAAATGACACGAAAGCATTTTTCGCAATAGCTGATATTCAACTTTAGTAACACACTTATTTGTTTAGTGATTATTAAGATGAGTGAAAAATGATTAAAGCAGTGCCCATTCAAAAACAAATTTCTGTAAAATCTCCAACTTCGCAGCGATTTTCAGAACCTGAAAATATGACAACGGTTGATTTGAACAAGAATGGATATTTGCCAAATGGTAAGTACTTGCTTATTTAATAAATGTTATATTGCAAATTATTTATAGATACCCAGGGTGAATTAAAACCAGACACAATTGAAAAATTTAATATAACAAAAATAATAAAGTCACTATTAGTAGGAATTGGAATTTTCATATTGTTAGGGTTGTGCACCACCATTTTAATATTAATAATACATCGAGGTTTGTTTTTGTCAAAAAATTTCATTTAGTTACCTAGATTTTGTAGGTTCTTATAGAAGCATACAAGAGCTTAATAAAAAATCTCAGACACAAGAAACATCTTTAAAACGTTTATTAAATAATAAAGAAATGATCAAAGCATGTAAAACATCAAAAAATTTTGAAGACTGTTGTAACATATTTTACAAATCAAAAGAAGTTAAGAAGTGTAGTGTTCAAAAGGTATTAGATCTTTTCTTGCAATACGAATTGGAATCTAACAATCGTCTTAAACGGCAAAATTATGAAGAGTACAATTTTGATTACCCTCCGGAATATTATAATGAAGATATATATCCAAACTATAATTTTGACTATGAACCACAAGCTTACGATTTCAATGGCAATAGTGAAATTATTCCTGACGAAAGTAATAAATATTTTAGTTATGATCATTACAATAAAATAGAAGAATATAATGAATTAAGCTTCACAAATAAAAAAACTAAAGTACAACAGCTGACAAAGACGAAACCTCTTCCTACAAGAAAGGAGTTCGACACTGTCAAATCCTCTTCCATCCTAAAGTCTTCAAACCCAATCCAAGAAACCAACACATGGTCAACTACAACAATACTACCTAAAACTTGTGTTGACGACAAAAATTGTCCAACTGTCATCAAGGCTACTACCAAAATTGCAAACATTAGCAACCTAGTTGCGGAACCCGGTCATTTAAAAATAGCTTTAAATGAAACAAAGATAAAATTAACACCAAATTTAGAAAGCAGTCCACGAATTAGTCAAGGAACCGAATTTGAATTGAAACCGTCTGGAGAAATACAAACTTCGAGTCAACCAAAACAAGTCAATCCGTGTTTTTACCCTTTTCCGGGGTCTTTTATTTCACCATATTCACCTCCAATAAATTTCGACCCTAATAATTACGGACGTGTGGCAAATATTCAACATCAACCACTATATATCATTAATCCTCCGATGTACCCTTCTGTTGCAATGCCTTACCAAGGATATGGAAATTACCCAAACCTACAAACTACCAATAAATACCCAATTCAAGTTGCTGGAGCAGGGGGGCAATTCTACTTGTGTAATCCTCTTTCAGTCCCAAATAATAATGTTGCTGGTTTGCAAGGTGTCGAAATAAGACGCATGTCGGAAATTTTCAATCTTCAAGATTCAGTACAAGAAACAAAAAAACAAGAGCTTGCATTTAACATAAATAAAACACGAGACGCTGTAGAATGTCCACTTGGAACTCGTGGTTGCAATGATGGCTCTAAATGTATTCACGATCGACAGTTTTGCGATAATGAAGTCAATTGTGACGATGCAAGTGACGAGTTGAATTGTTCTTGTAAAAGTCGTGTTGGTGCAATACGCTGGTGTGACGGGTACCTTGATTGTCCGAATGGAGAAGACGAACAAGAATGCTTTGGTATGTTGTAAATCTAAAAAATCCTAGTAAATTAAAATATTTTTTTAGGTTGTCGACACGATGAATTTAGTTGTGATGACTGGTCTAGGTTTCAAAAAAGCACATGCATACCATTATCACAAAGATGTGACGGTATTAAACATTGCGAAATGACAGGAAAAGACGAAGAAGATTGTTCAATTCTTACAGACCATGTTGGTCAACACTCGTTTTATAAAATGTCAAATGCTGCTGGATTTCTGCACCGGAACTATAAAGGAAAATGGTATCCCACCTGTTTCGGAGTCGACATTTTTTCCCTAGATGTTTGTAGAACTGAAGCAGGGCCGAGTGAAATGTAAAATACTAATATTCACAAACACTTTCTTCAAAACCGTGATTCCAGATTACCCAAAACTAATTTAATAACCAGTAACGACAATTATATCGGACCTTTTCTTGGAGTTTCCTCAACCAATGGAATTGTTTTATCTAATGATTGTATAAGAAATAAGGCAGTTTTTGTAGAGTGCCCGCCAATGTTTTGTGGCTTAAGATTGACAGTAACAAACCCTTTTCGTATTGCAGAAGTGGACACAAGTGCTGAAGAACTCTTAGCACGCATGCACCACAGTAGACTAGCAACTGATGAACTCGTTGGTAATTCTAGAGTAGTTGGAGGCAAAGCAAGTCAACCAACAGCCTGGCCATGGGTTGTTTCTATTTACAAAAACGGGGTTTTTCACTGTGGGGGTGTTCTTATTAATGACTTGTGGATTTTGACTGCAGCTCATTGTGTAGACAGATTTTGGTTTTTCTATTATGAGATTCAAGTCGGTATTTTAAGGCGATTTTCGTATTCACCAATGGAACAAAGTCGCTGGGCTACTGTAGCCATTCCTCACGAAAGCTATAATAAAAGATCACTTAAAAACGATATAGCCTTAATGAAATTATCAAAACCAGTCCGATTTAACAGATACGTTCGCCCCATTTGTTTACCATCTGAAATGACTGCTGGTGATGATTTCCTTCGTGGTCCTAAACCAAACACTGTTTGCGTTACTGTTGGTTGGGGAGCTACAGTCGAGCATGGAACAGACCGTAAATTACATAAAATTGTAACCACATTTGCTATAAAAAGTGTTTCTAGCTGATCATTTAAGGGAAGTAGAAGTTCCAATTTTGCCCACTTGTAAACACATTGAAGACAAAGAAGGAGACGAGATTTGTGCTGGATTGTCGGAAGGAGGACGAGATGCCTGTCAAGGGGATAGTGGAGGCCCTTTGATGTGCCAAAATGAAAAAAATCGGAGTCAGTGGTATCTCGCTGGTATTGTCAGTCATGGTGAAGGTTGTGCTAGGCCAAATGAACCAGGAGTATACACAAAAGTCAGCAAATATATCGGATGGATACATGAAAATATTAGTAAAAAATTTGTACTTGAAGTAGTTGGTCTTTTATTAATGGTTTCAGATGGTAAAACTGTGGGAAGAGAACCTTTACAAAAATGTCCCGGATATGTATGTCGGGGCACGAAAAAGTGTTTGGCAAAGAAAAGACGTTGCGATAAAATTGTGGACTGTCTATTTGGTGATGATGAAACAAACTGTTGGCAGTCCCATACACAATCTCTCTTTCGGTCAAATATTGTAGGAAGCAAGCACCAAGGGTTAATGAATGATTTATTAAGTTTGCTTCATTTAAATAATTCTTCTGAAGAGACAGATGATGTGTCAACAGAGTCTCAAAATAGTACCGAAAGTGTAGAAATTAAAGCAAATCTACCCAAATATTTTACGTGTGAGAAGTAAATATTCTGCTGACCGATACCTATGTCTTAATGTTAAATTTGAAGAATGTTGCAGACAATACCATATGATGAGAAATGTAATAAAGTGGTAAACTGTGAGGATGGTACAGACGAAGCTGACTGTTCGTGTGTAGATTACCTGAAAAGATTTCATAAAGATGCAATTTGTGATGGTGTAACAGACTGTAAGGACATGTCGGATGAAGCTAATTGCGGTAAGACTGGTAATTACACGTACTAAATATTTTAATTGACGTCTCTTTTTAGTAAAATGTCCAACAAACCAGTATTTATGTCGCATAGGTCAAAAATGTATTCCTTTGGAAAACCGCTGCGATGGGAACCTAAACTGCATTAGCGGCGAAGATGAATGGGACTGCGGTGAGTCATCCCATTTTGCAAGATTAGAAAACACAAAAGCTTTTTCATTTACTTTTCCTTTAATGATAAAGCACGTTGTAAGAATAATGAGAAGCTAGAGAATTGGTGTCGAAAATAAATAATTTCGTTGGGATTTATCTTTACAGTCTCCCTTACGGATGGGAGGACATTAGTGCTGGACAGTGATTTACGTCCCAAGCAGAGCATGAAAGGTATAATTACAATCAATCGTTTCGGTGTCTGGAGACCACTCTGCACCAACGCGTCCATCGACAACGCAGCATCCATCGCCGCAAATGTTTGCAATTTGTTAGGCTTTGAAGAATACACAGCTTTCCATAAATTATCCGTCGCAGATAAGCCACTGAATGTCACAATCGACGGCTTTGAACGATACCATTCCTCATTAGACGAGCTCCCTGTTTGCGGTGGCTTGTTTGTCGGCTGTTTGAACGTGTCTTTAGAAGACAACGTACACGAGCTCCATCAAGATAACATTACCAGTCAAGTGGAACTTTACACTTCACCTTGGAACGCCGTGATTTATTCGGATGGGAAATTTAGTTGTACAGGAACGATTCTCAATCCGCATTGGATTATTACCGCCAAAGCATGTTTCCCAAAGCAATTACCGTGAGTTTATCAATCTTCAATATCTCAAAAGAGTATTTGTGACACAGAAATTTACACAGAATTAATAAATACGTTACTGCACTTGTGGGAAAAGGAAAAGCTCATTTCGACGTGGAGGGACCACACGAACAAATTTTAACCGTGGATAACGTAGCTTTTGTAAATGAAAGTGAAGCTATTCTGCTTCATACACAGCAAAAAATCAACTTCAACAGATACGTTAAAGCGGCACAAATAACCACAAAGTATGTTTAACACAGTAGTTTTTATTTCAACCGCAATTTTTTGTCCAGATCTGTCTTCATCAAAGAACACTGCGTTGCAATTGGCTTTGAAAATAAAAGAAACAAAATAGTGCTTTTGCAACCCAAAAAAGACTGTGCCCTTGGGTTTCGGTGCTTCGAAATAGTCGACATTTGCAAGGTTGTTGCCTTTACATTGCATAAAATAACACTAATTGTGTTTTGTTTTAGAACAAAACAAAATTAGAGCCATGGCATGGCGTAATCACTTGTAATTCCAGAAATGGTTGGTATGCAACAGCAATTTACACTAGAATCGAAGAATTTTGCAATTCATCACAAAGACAATTCCAGACAATTGATAAAAATAAAATAGGTTTTGCTATGGGTGAGGGTTTTATTCCTGCTGTAACTATATCTAAATTTAATAATTTTAAAGGAAACGAACTTGAAAAAATCTCTCCGATGGAATGTTCTGGTTTCAGATGCCTTATAGGAAATTGTATTAATAAGAATCAATTTTGTGACGGTGTTTCCGACTGCAGGAACGGCGAAGATGAAGATTCAAACGAATGTTTAAAATTAGAGGATGAGTGTCCTCTTTTGACCAACTGTACAAACTATTCTCGTAAGTTGCTTTCATCAATAAACCTCTCTATGCCCAAGCTTGCAAAAGTACTGATTTCAACCGCTAGATTGCGGTAGAGACCTGATTTCCTACTACATTTCGAATTTAATTTTAGCATGCAAATCGACTGAATTTAGGTGCAAGAATGGCGATTGTGTTCCAAAAACCGCGTTTTGTGACAATATTGATGATTGTAAAGACAAGTCTGATGAACCGGACGAATGTTCCTGCAGGCCTTATTTAGAAAGAGTTCATCCCGAAAAAATCTGCGATGGGACTGTCAATTGTTGGGACAGATTTGATGAAAAAAACTGCTCTTGTGGATTTAAATCCGGTGAAAAATGTGGCGAGTAAGATATTTCTCTTTTTAATTAATTACAGGATAATCTTGATCCAGACATTCTACTGGAAATAATTGCTACAAGGTAGGACGTAGTGCTTTTAATAAGCGGATGGAATATATCCTCGAGGTGTTTTAATGCAATACTTTTTCAAAACGTTACTTCACCACTAATTTTCCTGCTATTAGTTAAAATTAATTTTCAGAACGGATCTGTGCGTTTCGCAAGAAATGATCTGTGACGGGTTTCAAGACTGTCCCGGCGGCGAAGACGAGAGTGTTTGCTATTCATTCAGAACGACATTAGCAAAGTATTTTTTTAAATTAATAATCGCTGTTTTAATCTAGTTGTTCATTTTTGTAGTTACAATAGCGGAGAAGTGTTTAGACGCACCGCAGGCGTTTGGCATTCTGGTTGTTTCGCACGAAACCATACCACTACTGAGCTGGAGGAAATTTGCAAAAAGCTGGGATTTGCTGGCGGCAGTGCCAAACAACTTGTACCACCTGAAGATACAAATCCAGCTTTGAAACCTGTAAAAGATCGGTTCGATGTCGTGTGGACTCTAAGCAAAGGAAGTAAACTCAAGTTGCGACTCCGCACCGGAAATGAACCATACGTGAAATTTGTTGAGGATTCCGACTGTCATAAACTGTATTTAGAGTGTCTTTAATTTAATAAATAAGAGAAAAAATTTCAATAAATTATCTCACGCTGCACTACATGTTTGATATTTCGCCCCATTATCAATTTGGCACTGATCCCAAAAATGTGTAGGATTTTCGGTCACGTTTGCCTACATTTCGGCATTACAGGTGAGCATGTCCATTAGCATTTTATGAACGCGGATTATTTACACACCGATTTAGTCAGTGCTTGGAGTATTGGGCGGCCATCGACCTGAGAAACCGTTGAGCGACCAGGGCCAGGAATGTTGCTGTGTGTTCTGCAAGAAGTATACTCTCTCTATAACTTGTCTTCTACCGGTTCCCTGAATCTCACCAAGATGTTGGTCAAGGAGGACCGTCGACGTTTATATCGCGCGATTGGCCATCTTGACACAAGCGAAACTTTTTTCTCGCCGATTTAGGTTAAACCAGAATTTTACCCCCAAAGCTAATTTATGCAAAAGCACGTACATACCCACAACAGGTGTCATTTTAAAAGGAGATTAGCTTGTAAAACGATTTGAATATTGCACCCCTAAGCAAGAGGAGATTATAATAAACTCTCAGGTGTGCAAGGTAGACTACCTACAACAAACCTTAATTTCGCTGAAATTATTCAAACAAAATTTTACACTTCTTGCAAAATTAATTAAAAATTGAATTTTTAAACTAATAATTCAAACATAAACCTTGTTAGACGAGAATTTAATGTGGTACATTTAATATTTAGGATAATGTTATTAATGCGTTTAGTATTAGCGTAAAATTTATTAATAATACAAAAATAATGTTAATGTAAAACGATAGTTATTTTATTAGTCACGGAATTTTTCACAGAATTGCTAATTTTATTTTGCGTCACAACATAAGAAAAATATAAATAATTTATTATAAAAACAGCAGCCAAAAATGGGAAAATATTAATTATGAACGGTATTTCGCATGCGGTTAAAATACCTCACGAGTAAATACTGTAGGTAAATTAGGTTTTCAGTACATTTAACTATAAAATTACGATAGTTCTAGATATTTAAGCATACTTTAATGTTTACTACCTTGTAATAATTAATAATTTTTTAATTAATTCTGCAGGAATTATTGTACATTAGAGGTTTTTGAACTTAAAATAGAAATTCATTCCACGGGGTAACTATAATTAACGGTGCTTGAAATGCGGGTGCAATTTCAATTATCACATACTTTCCAACAAAATCAAACCCACCATCCGATAAACTAGCCTTTATTGTGTCAGCCGGCAAAAATTGAAAATCTTTTTTAGACTGAATGAAACTGTTCTGGAAGCGTAAAATCTCTTTCATCAACTTTTTCCCATTTACCTGAATTTGTTCCTCGAATTCCGCACACATTCGTTGCTTATTTCGGCGTTCAAGTCTCCGCTATTGACGTGAGTACAGTTAAAACAATGGTCAAAATTGGCATTGCTGTGGACTTATTAATCAGTTTTACTTATTAAAATAGAGGTAAAATCAACACCGGACTTTGAGGTGGTAGACATAACTTCTTTCTCCCCACTTCACTTGATCGCCAAGAAAGCACCTGAGCCGTCAGTTCTGTTGAGGTGCCGGGGAACGGTAAGGACAGACGCGTGTGGTGTGCTGTGATATTTTGTTAAATAAACAAGTGAGTTTCGAGAATTTTTATTTTGAGAGATAAGAGTGAACTATATTCATGATAGTGAGCAAGGGTTTACTTGAGCGACGGTGAAGAATTTTAGGTAGGTGTGATACTTTATAAAAATGAAGTTTTCAACTAAGTTTTAAGAATATCCGCTTATTGTTTTTGAAGAAATGATATTTTTCTCATTGAAAATCTGTTACTGAAGAAACAGAAGGTACGCTCCTATTTCTTGTTCATGACAAGATAGTTGAAGCAGAATAAACTCTAAGCTTCTTAGTCCCAAAATTATAGTGCCGAGGTGGTATTATAAAAAGATACGATGGAATGTTTACCACACCCCGACGCTGGATGTCAGTTTTTACAATCTCTGGTGTGAGAGGAGGTAAAAAAACAAACTGGAATATTTTCAACACAATATGAGCTTTATGCTAATTTAACTAAAATGAAAAAAAAACCCACAAATTTTGGTTAGGAAAAAGAAACAATCTTTACTGATAAAAAATTTGATTTCAAACGCACACACGCAAACATGTGATCAAGTAACTGGATACGTTGGAATTTTGGAATGGCCTACTTTGATGGTCTTACATAAAATTATCCAACATAAGATATTTCCTACATTATGAGCGAACTTAATAAATTTTTGGCATTTTTTTCAAAGAAAGCGTAAATGTCTAGACGAGCATTGTCCTTTTTGTTACACAAAACGTCGGTTCAGAAAACTACAAAATTGCAAACAACTAGAAATGACGTCAAAAGTGTTTATCCTCATTACCATTTTTTAAGCAGGCTATAACCGTCCACCATTTTTTGCAATGTTTGGGATCGATTAGTTCAAAGACCACAACTGAATTCTATGTCTGATGCTAGGTTTGATACCAACTTATTTAGTTTTGTAAAAATAAAGTTTGTCAAGTTTGGAACTAAATCTAAGTTTGTAAGTATTCACAGAAATTAAAATATTTGCATCTTGAATAGAAATGTATGTCATTGGAACATTTAGTCAATTTGTTAATTACGAGTAATAATTTGAAATGACATAAATTCACAGTCTTAAATATTTAATTAATATTAAGGAATAGAAAAAAGTTTTACGTTATTCTAACGTTAAAGTTAATCGAAATTTAAATATGCATGGAGTCATTTTTTTAAATATCCGAGAATTTTTTCATTGATATCCATAAAATTATATAAAAGCTTTTCCTAAAAAAAGTCTATTTTCTCTGGAAAATCTCTGAATTATCTACTTAAAATTGTGAATATGAATAATATTAATTAATAATATCAATTTTGATAGCTATAATAGCAATTTTATTAGAAAATGTAGCTTTTGAAATTCAAAAATGTGCAAAAACTGTAAGTAGGTAACAACTAATTTCCCAAATTATTCAATAATGGGTAAAAATAACGTGTCATGACCACGAATGCATCCAAACATTTACTCAGGTTTAACCAACACGCTGATTTTTTGTCTTAGCCACATTGCTGAAACAACAGTTACAATTGACTTTAAAATAACATTATTTGTTATGGTTGTGCTTTTTATTGGCATAATAATATTTGTAACATTACATTGTCACCTACAATTAATCCTTCCTGAAGAGTCACGATCCAGCAGCAACGGTATGACTTACCATCTCCATATTTAAAACCGGAAGAATAAATTTAACAGTCTTGATTATTAAGTAGTGAAGTACAATTAAAGTATTTCCGTCATGTTTATACAATTTGTGCATAACAACGTTGTAACGGTGTTATTTTTCATGAAGTCTGAGGTGACTTTAATGCTCGATCAAGCGACGAACCATCAACACATAAACAACCCTAAGTCATAATTGCAACTGGAGCATATTAGTGTTATTATTGCACCTAAAACTATGCAATAATAAAAGTGCGCTCAAGTAACCGTTGCTTGTGCTACAATTCAACTTGGTTAACACAAATTTGCGCTCAAGTAACTATTTAATGGACAACAATGCAATCGGAACTGTGCAAATGGGAAACTTGAATCATAATCGTGTGACGATTAGAAGTAATTGAAAAAAAAACGGATTTGTGCTTTTTCATTGTTGACAATAATGAGTTCAAGAAAATGACATTTGTGTTATTTAGAACAAGCTTGTGTTAAGGATACGAATAATAGATTGATGCAGTTAGACAGATAACTTTAATATGAGTCGTTTACGCAAGGTGAATGATGTGATCCCGGAAAAAATATTCCTTTCACTTTATTCAAAATGCAATAACATAGAACTGAGTAATCAGCAATTATCGAAAACAATAATTTACGATTGATGACCTGGTCTTTAGTTCACACAATAAATTTAACTAAAGCTTAGAGATCATAGATACTTTCACACTGAGTGGACACGAAAAACTTTAATAAATCGTAATCAATTATTTTCTAATTTATCTAAATGATGACGATTAAAAATTAAACTAATTGTAGGAATTACATTTTTATAATTTTGCGGCCTCAATTATTACCTATTTCTCAAAAGTGCATTTTCTTGCTATTTATTAGCAATGTTTGAAATACAAAAAACTGTTTATAACTTCGTGACAAATATTGAAAGAGAGGCAAAAGTTAATATTTACCCAATACGTTATGGCGACCGCTTCAAAATTTATTTGTTTTGTTAAATTGGTAGTTGGGATATCTCGTTTCTCTACGCAAACAAACGTGATCTGATGTGAGTAATCGATTTTTTGTTATTTAAAATTTCACACGAACATTTTTCTTCCTTATTCCCCTCCTCTTTTAAATTCATTTGAGAGAAAGCTTCTGCACCTGAACTAACCTCAACTGCAATAACACTTCTAATATAGTAGAATGATACTGTCAATAGGAAAGCCATAAACCTCAGAAGATGGTATCTGAGTAAATATGCCACATTTTATTGACTACGCTTATGTTTTTTTTTTGGAAATTGAAGTCATACTAGTAGTGAAAACGTTCCGACATTTGTAATCTTTTTCTCACATTATGATTTTAAAGAATGGTAATTGTTCGATGGTTGGGACCACCTCTGCTTATGCAAGCTTATCCTAGTTTACATCTACAATTTTATTCTCACAATATTATGTGTAACAGTCTCATCCATTACGAGCATTACATAAAATTTGCTTAAAAAAATATAAATACTTTTGGCGATTCCTCCGATGCTAGCAAGTAGTCAGGTAGACTTTCACTATTGTTTGGGTCTTTTCCTAAATCATGGGCATTGTTTACGACCCGAAGTCGATTTTTGTCTTGGTCAGTACGGTCGTTCTGCCTCAGTTCTAGTCGGTTCTGCATGCGTTCGCAGCCTTCTTTTATAAAACACTATTCTTCATACATGACTACTAGAGGATGACTTTCGATACAAAGTGAGAATATTTATTAAGAAAGAAAACTGATTTTT